AGGGTGGTTCACAAATAACTACCACATTTTGTCATAATGTAAAGTCTATGAGAGAAAACAACAAAGTGGTGCGTTATGTTTGACGCACCCTGTACATACTTACACTACGTTAGGCATATCTACTACTTATACAGTATATAAAGGTAATTAAAAGGTAATTATTTTAAATTACTTAAAGTATCCTTGTAGAATTTTATAGAAATACACTTCTCGGGCGCAAAACACAATAGAATTTAAATATTTTTTATACACCTTATAAAATGGATATAACTTTACATCATTTAAGATTATTATTATGTTTTCCAATATATACATTACCTTGTCAGGATATATTCCTGTAACAATATTTCTGGATATTATATTAGTACTATTTACATTGTTAGCAATATAACCATGAGCACATAATTTCATTAAATCAACCATATTGTTTAGAAAACTTTATAACCCCCATATACCACAAGACAATGAAATATAATAATCCTTAGTGATATAGTTAGAATATCTATTTATATATTTAACATTAACTTAAAAGTTAATAATATTATTTTATTGAAATACTATTTACATAATATTTGTTTGATGTAAAGTGTAAATGTTTTATATTTAATTAATATTTGCTTCTAATGTAAATTAAATAAAACTAAAATTATATCTTCATATTACTGTACAAGTAAATAAAGAATACACAATAGAATATAAAATATAATAATTTTCATTTAGCACTAATAGCAATGAGATAAATATCATGTTGTATTAATATAAAAGTTATGCAAATTATTTACAAATTCTTTATAAATATTTTGAATACGAATATTGATTGGAAGTGCATTAAATAATTTAATACAATTATTAAAAAGACTTTTTTAATTAAATTAATTTTGTGAAACTTGGTTAGTGCCAGATGTAATAAATAAAATTTTATTTTTCAGGTCAACACTTATTAATAAATTTAAGATATTTAATTTTTATACAGAATCTATAGCATAATTTATAAATTAATTTCCAATCACCAAGGATACATTACATAATGCAATCTAGTATATTATATTATTAATGCATAATTATCTAAACTTTTACAAAATAAATGGAAAAATTAATTCAGAAAATATAATAATTAAAGCAAATATTGAACCAAACAATAGTGTATTAAAGGCTGGCTTTAAGTTATTAATAGTTAATTCATTAAACATATTATTGTGTGAATCAATAGAAATCAATTCACTATTATTTATACCATTAGTTTTTGTATTAAAAACAACTTCATTTTGCGGGTAATAATCAAACAAACCATACGAATACATGGATTTAATCCTAAATTTATAAAAAGTAGATAGCGGGACTATTCATCCACAGATGACGTCATAGGATACGTGATAATGCATAAAAAACATTACAAAAAATACACAACACATAAGCATTACATAACCATGAGTTCATTGCCTGCAAACGGTGCCTCTTAAGCATATAGAGGCAACTCATCTGTGCTCACAAATAGTATTTTAGTCATATATAATGTTAGGGTTTAATAAAACTTGTTTTAGTATAAAATTTAATCAAACTTTTTAGGCTTTAAACTTATTCACTTATATTTTAAAGGCAAGTAATGATTAGTTTAATAGTAACCTTTATAGTGTATCATCATTCATTAGAAATAAAAGTTCTGGTGATTCTTAATTTATACTTTATGTAATTATGTTTTGTGAATATAAAAATTACATTTTTGTGTCAAGTTTGACATTAACAAATTGCAATAATTTGTTACAGCGCATATTTAATAAGAGTTTTAATTTGATTTTAGACCATTTAATATTACTAGTAGACCAGATAATAACGATAAATTATATAGATGAGTCCCGGAGTGCTCATAACGTGGCATGCATAAGATCCGGCGCCATCATTAAGCCAATTGATCCCAAACTGACCGACACTTTAATTACATTTTAAATCAAAATATAAATTGCATACCCTAAAAAAATAATTATATTTTGAAACGGTGTTACGCTCGGCCGCCAACAGTAGTTCAATTAAATCACCGCCTTTTAGGCGCCCATCGATCTCTCATCCAGAATCGGCAACTGATTAATTAAGGCAAACGACGCCGACTTTAATAACAAGTCCGATCTTACGGAACAAATGATTGAAAAGCCTTAGGGTCGGCTATTTTGGGTATAAATAGACCCGTGTATCAGCTCTGCTGAACACTTGAAAATGGCTTTCCCCGCATGTATTGTTTGCGACAAAGTTGGCGAGCTTCGGCTAGAAAATTGCCCACATCTTTATTGTTTGAAGTGCTTTAAAAAAGAAGTGACCCGTGGTGTAGATCTTTACGGCGGTGGGGCCTGCATTAGCTTCGGGTTAGCACCCGATGCTCCTAACTACATAAGATGCGCCGGTAAGTTGCATTTTACAGATTTGATCTAGCTCATTTCGTTTGGGAGTAATTATTTATTTTTTACAGTTTGCCGGGCAAATATCGGCATATCGTTGGCACCATTACCCGATAAGGAGCAAAAAAAATTTGCCAGAAAATTTTTGAAAGCAGAGCAGGAGTTGGAAGAGCCGACCCCCCGTGCCCCCCGCGTCCGTCCGCAACAGCCAGGTAAAATTATTTATCTCATTAAATGTTTGTTTCATAACTTATAATTATATTTAATTCTTCTATCATTAATATTATATTTCCAAATAAACTAAACAATAACTGACTTATAAATGTATCACATAATTTTATTAGCACCACTACCGGAGGCCCGCGTAGTGTTGCGCCGGGTGGACGAGGACAGCGAATGGGAGAACCACTACCTGATGTCTTTGGCAAACGGGTATTATGGCGGTAATACCGCTCCCGGCGCCGTCGGTGGGGCGGAAACTGCCGACCTAACGCAACCAGGTTGCAATACTTGGTATTGTGACAGCGCCGGTAGCAGCGCCGGTAGTTCCAGTAGCAGCGCCGGTAACAGCACCGGCCGTAGCGCCACTAGCAGCGCCGGTAGTTCTAGTGCTGCCCGTTCCAGAACCGGCGCTTCTAGCGCCGCCGGTTCCAGCGATGAAGGTTTTGGCGCCGGCATTGATGGCACATTTGGTGACTCGAATAGCGGCGGCGGCGCCGGCATTGATGGCACATTTGGTGACTCGAATAGCGGCGGCGGCGCCGGCATTGATGGCACATTTGGTGACTCGGATAGCGGCGGCGGCGCCGGCATTGATGGCACATTTGGTCACTTGGATCGCGGCGGTGGTAACGATGGTTACGGCAATAACGGCGGCGGTGTTCCGTTACCTCGAATGAATTTCTACAACACCAATTTCGAGGATAACTACGACGCTGACAGCGAGACAAGTACTCTCGATGGTGGCGACCTTGATGAGTCATGGGATGTGGAACCGCCGTTAACCATGGATTTTCCAAGGGAAGATGACGACGAGGTCATCTGTCTCGAGTAAAATAACCATGATAATTTGGTGGCGGCGGACACGGTGGTGGCTATCATTCTGGTAATTTTTAATTTTAAACATTTAATCATGATTAATTTTTAACTTTTATTTAAACATGATAATTGAAATTACATTAATTATTACATTTAACTTAATAAATAAAATCAATAAAATTTTTTAACAATTTGTATATTTATTTATTTAATTTAATATAATTGCAAGTATTGACTAAATACACAAATATTAAACAACCAGAATAATTCATAGAAAAATATATAAATAGTGTTATAGATATTTGTATAAATGGCCTAAATATAAGTTAACATTAATTTGATTCACAATTAGTTTCATTATGATTACAGCCATCACTACCGGCGCTGTCATTATCGGTGGGATTGGCCATCAATTGTATTTCATAAGCGCAGACCATTAACTTTATACGATTATTGGCCTCCCGGTGCCGGTCATGTTGTGCGTCCACGTCCTCCGCCACTTCACGTACGGGTCGACTATGGGTTGTCTTAATCACCAATTCATTGGTCCAGCGAAGCAGCGGTAAGAATGAGAAGACATATTGTGCTCTCTGTGTGCAGATATAATGTTCAAATTAATAGCCTGTGATCTTTGCCCTCCGTGTCTATCATTGAATATGGTATATATTTTTGACGTATACCTAAGTTATTGTACTGTTTTGTTGAGATGAACTTCTTGTATGACATCCGGTCCCTGAAAATTGACATTTAATGCCATTTTGCAAAATACTAGTGTTGGCCACGAATAGGATATAACCTACACCTAAACGGCAAACCATTTAAACAATCAATTAATGCTAATTTTTATAAATTCAATAAATGAGTAAACGAGAGAGAGAGTGAGAGAGAGAGAATAAACTATTTAATTAAGGTAAGTTCATGAGTGTTTGTAAGTGGAGATGGAAGACACATACCCGGCCACTCGCATTTGTGCGGCTTATCGCCCGTATGGCAGACCTTAATATGGTTTTTGAGCAGTTTGTGTGTCTTGAACTTCCACGTACAGCCGGGTCAACCGCACACGTAGCCTTTCTCGGTCGAGTGGATCAGCTTGTTTTCGCGGAACCGGGCCGGGTCTGAACAACTAGATAATCATAACGTGGTTAACACTAACGTTGCCATTGAATGAAAGAGACGGGTGTGTTCGTGGATCCGGCAAATACCTGTACTGACAGCCATCGTGTGTGCATTTGTACGGCTTTTCTCCCGTATGGATGCGGTAGTGCTTCTGAAAGTTACCCCTATTGTTTGTCCCGTACAGACACCCGGTCCACGAGCACTGGAACTTCTTCTCGCCGTCCGTTACGGTGTTTACTGTCAATAGAAAACACTCATTAGAGAGAGAGAGAGAGAGAAAGAGAGAGAGAGAGAGAGAGAGAGATAGAGAGAGAGAGAGAGACCAAAGAAATATCCAAACCTTTGAGTTTTTTCGTTTGTATTTTACGTTTGGCGGCCTTNAGAGAGAGAGAGAGAGAGAGAGAGAGAGAGAGAGACCAAAGAAATATCCAAACCTTTGAGTTTTTTCGTTTGTATTTTACGTTTGGCGGCCTTCGGAACAGTCGGTGTGTCTGCGGCCCCACCGGTGCCGACACCGACTCCGCCGTCGTTGGCCGCTATCAACACATTGTGCACAACACACGTATCGTCTGTCAAACCGTTGACCTCAATGTCCATCCCATCGGCGCCTCCGCACAGATAGGCGTCCGGATTAGTCAAATGCTGGCCGTCTGTCACCACAACAGTAATCGCGCCGCCAGTGGTTGTCGTCCAGAGCTGATCGACAGCTGCGGAGGCGGCCACAGCCATATTGCTCAGCACGAGCTCATATGTGACCAGAAATGTGTCGACCCCGCAGTCAACGGCAGTGGCGGCCGATGTCTGGTCGCTGCGCGACTGAGTGCGACAGATCTCATAGAGTGGTACGACATTGTCGTGCTTCAGGAGCTGTAAGATCTTGATCTCGCGCAGGGCTGTGATGGGGAAACCCTCCTTCTCGTTCTCCATCAACACCTTCTTGAGGGCCACTATTTTGCGGGTTTGCCTGTGCTTTGCTTTGAACACTTCGCCAAACGTACCTGGTTATAATCATAGTGATAATCATGGTGGTTAATTAAATTGGTAATAAAACAATGTAGTGTACAGGGAAATGGTGTGTAGTGATAGTATACCTTAGCCAATTTTGGTCAGTTTCTCGTATTTGGACACATCGTCGAAAAACGGGTAATCAAAGTCGTCGATAGCGTTGGCCGAGTTCTTGTAGTGCTGTTGCGGATGTGATTTGTGGTGATTATGATTGGCTGAGGAGGAGGTGGTGGCGGCGGATGCGCTGCCACTATTACTGGATGTCTGGTCACCGCCGGTACCGCCGCTCGCCGTATGACTGCCACCAGTGTTGCCACCGGACACGCGTCCGCCATTCATGTGATCGGACATCACGTGACTCTTGTTATTATGTGTTGTTATTAATTGTGTTGTCAAAATGGATACAATAACAAACAATGACATAAGTGAGTCAAAAGTGTTGCCAACTGTCGGATCAAAATGACAATTACTGCCATTTCATCTAAAGATCCGGTGAACACATAAACAACGTGTTTATTATTGTTTCTAAGTTTTAAAGTTTCAAAGTTTTAAAAGTTTTTAAAAGTGATGAAATGTATAATATTGTTTATATATTGCTATTAATAAAATCTTTAGCCGGTGTGCAACACAAGTAACAAAACCCTATAATAAATGACAAATTTTTATTACACTTTTCGACCGCAACATGATCAAGATTTCAATCAACAGCAACGACAACAACATATGCCAGCGCAAGACCCGATGGCGGCAGCAATGGACCAGTTCCTGGCAAATGAAGCTTAACTCATAGCCAACGCAACGGCACTGCCCGCCAATCAGTTCCTCCCGATGGACATCAACCCAGTGTTATTGCAAACACTCGGCAATGTTTGGATACCAGAGGGAGTGCTCAACGCTTCCAACGCTTACTACAGGCGCCAAATGATTAGGCATTTGCGGCAATTGAGGGACGGATTAACTGAGGCAACCAGTGAGTGCACCGAATGATGTGACAAAGCGGGTGATTGCTGTCGCACCGGCGAGTGGGCCGGAGTGTGAGGGGATGGCATGTAATGTGACTGCGCTGCTAATGAATTGACCGACGATTGTGTGAGTGTGTGGGCTATCGGCACCTCAACCACTTTGTCCAGTTTTGGTGGCGCGACGTACTGCGCGTGTCGCCCCGGCTGTCCGTTCTCAGCGGTCACTTGTCGAGCCATTAGCGCCAGACATTCCACCCATCGGTCCTACATCACGTCATCGTCAGTATCCAACGGCACCCGTTCTTGTAAGTAACGCAAATGCTGGCCGTAATCAGTAACCCGACGAATATATTCGGCGCGTTGGCCCGGGAGTCGTATGCGTTGCCACGTGTTGTCTTGATTCAGATGCCCGTCCGGTAGCAACGGTATGTTTCGGTACCTGTTTGTCACCTGGACCAAGCCCTGATTGCGTGATACTCAAAGCGCGTCGTACTCGTCTTCAATATAGTCGAGTGCAACCATGAGAGCTACTAACGCCTGCCGGCGCCGCGCCATGTGCTCGTCCAACACTGCCAATCGCTCGTTCACCTCATTCTCGTCTAACTCGCCGCGTATACGACTGTAATTAGTCCACATCTCAATTGTAGTTAACAACAGTACACTATAGTTTGCCACCAATTGTCCGGTCCCTTCGGGCACTCGGGCGGCCACTACGGGCTCCCAACGTTCTCTGTATTCCGCGGTCCACACCTCGTGTTTTATTTTAAATAAAAATTGTGATATAAATATTTTAATTGTCATATAATTGTTACTTTACAATTTAAGATTGTTGAACAATATTTTTTAAAAATAACATAATTGTGCTTAATAAATTCCTGCATCAATATGTATTTCAAATATCCTGCCAAATGATTTATTTGACATCTGTAGCGGACATTTGTTTGTTCGGAGACTGCGGCGGTAGTGAACATACAATTGCATCAATAAGTGCTGCCATACTCTGAAATTGTGATTTGGAGTGCAAATCAATTATACATATTTTAATACAAAACAAACATGTTAATTTAATACGTTTCTCATTTACACATAAATATAAACTACTTTAGTAATAAATAAAATTACACATGTTTGTTGAAATTAAAATAATTTTATTTAATAATTATTTTAATACATTGAATTGAAAAAATATTTTATTAATTTTATAATTATATTTTATTAAAAAAGTTTTAAATAAAAGTAAATTTGATTGGATTATGTTTACGGTCGACGCGTGCAATTAACCGTAGTGATAGTGTCTGTTCAGTGGTGAGTGCAGTGCTGTTCTAGTGAAGTGTTTGTGTTTATGGATTACCAATTCATCTAAAGGTAATGTAAAAATTTATTAGTATTTTAAATATTATATTTTATATAATATTACAACATACCTGAGCAATTATTGCATCACAAAAATTGCGATTATAGTTGAATATGAATTTATATTGGTGTGTCTTATAACGACACCTAGGGTGCGCTCCCTAGTAATTAATGATTTTCAAAGAGCGCTAATCTTTGATAACAAGGCACAACTCTTGCTTATGTAATATACAAGTCCAATGTGTGCTCAAAGGACAAGGCAGGGCACAAATGCTGCAATATATTTTTAATATAAGTTCAATGTGTGTGCATTGAACAGGGCAGTGCACGACTCTGCTAATATTTTAATACAAGTCCAAAGTGTGCTCATTAGACTATTGTACATGGACGTCACTTCCATCTTCTAGAGTGTGCTCTCTAGGTTAATTAACATAAGGGTGCACTAATCCCTCACTCCAGCTGACGTTACCGGAGTCCACAGGGCACGACTCCTGTTTTATATATACTAATGTGTGATCATTAGTATCCATATGGAAAAGTTAATTTATTCTGTACATATCTTTTATCAGATGTCACTCTATATCTTTTATCAAAATATCTTGTTTTAATTTGATTATGTCTGTTTAAATCAAACTGTCTCTGTTTAATATATACAGGGTCAGTTTGGGGATCGCAATTGGCTAATTCAATAAGCTTATTAAAATCAATTATCTTTTATCAAAATATCTTGTTTTAATTTGATTATGTCTGTTTAAATCAAACTGTCTCTGTTTAATATATACAGGGTCAGTTTGGGGATCGCAATTGGCTAATTCAATAAGCTTATTAAAATCAATACTTTGTTTAGCAAGAAAATTCATTTGAATTCCTTTACATTTTAATTCAGATTTAATTCCATCATTTGTTTGTACACTATATCCATAATTCTTTGGACCTAATGATGCAAATTCTATACATTTAGCATTAGTACCATAATTTTTTAATACTTCATCAGTTAAGTCGCCTAAATAATCACCACATTCAATCGGTGGGTCAGATATATTTTTATAATATAAAACTGAATCAGTATCATGATATAATAGACTATATGGTCTTATTTTTTCAATTTTATCCATTAATTCATAAAGTTTAATACGGGCATAAGCGGTTACAAAGCTTGCAACTGTTAGATTATATTTCATTGCTTTTGCCATATCATTATTTTTATATTGCCAGGTCAATATCATAGTGTCATCGGTAACCATATATTCACCACTAATCTCTTTATCTTCATCTAATACTATATCAAAATAATCACTAATCGATTTAATTATTTCAGTTTGAGTTTGATTTGGTCTTTGTGCAAACTTTCCCCAAAATGAATTTAACATAATTTTAGCGATAAATCTTAAAGTCTCATTTTTTACAATTTTATCATATTCCAAATCAATATTTTCTTTATTTTTATAATTCTCTATATATTGTATTTTATCTGTTTCACTTAAACACCAATTAGGCCAGCCAGAGGCTTGCTGTTTAATTTTTAACCACATATCAATATACTTTATGAATTTATTTTCATTAATATCGCATTTGAAATTAAGTACTTCATATATTTCTTTAATTAAATAACCTTGTTTAATTGCTAATTTTAATTCTTCACTAACCCATGTACCTATAAATGACCTGTCTATACAATTACATATTTTTGAACAATTTTTAGCACATTTAACACATATAGGAAATATTAATTTTTTTCTTATAACAACAGGTAATACAGGTAAATATAACCCTTTAGGTGCAATAACTTTACATTTAATGATTCCAAAATAACTTTTTAATGAATAATCAAAATTATTATTAATTACTTCCGGATGACCAACAGGGTATGGATTGTATTTTAATACATATGGGTACAAGCTACAGAAATCTAAATATTTAATTTCTTGATCTTGATTAATTGATTTATAAAATTGTAAATTATTCGTTCTACCGCCAAAAAATGCTTCCCTTATATTTAATGGACCAATATGTTTTAATGTTTTATAATATTTAAATCTATTATTATAAAATTGTTTCAAAACTAAATTATCATGAATACATTTATTAAATTGACATTCCCAAATACTAATTACTTTATAATTTTTTCTTAAAAAATCTAATTTATCCATAACTTGTTTGTGTCGTTCATTTAAACTATAAGATACTCCTCTGTTTACCATATACTTATCATTTCTATCAATATCATTTTGACACA